GAATCAGTCAGTGCTACGCTCAGCTGATGCAGCAACTCATGGTATCAGATGCCATCAGGAGGTCAAAGGACATCTATTTAGAACACATTACCGGACATTGGCAATACCAGGAGAGATGAGCCAGAGTGCCACCGAGAAGTGAAGTTGGGAAGGTAACCAAAATACTTTTCTGATGGATTGTATTTACTGAGGGACAATCTATCCTAAATTCTCAATTATTAAGGGACACTATACACTCATTGCTGTGTTTGCTTTCCAGAAGCTATTCTTAATATCTTTTTATGAGTGATGTACCCAAATATTTGGATGCTAATATTTTATCTGTATTGTTAAATTTATTAACCTTAATTTGGGATATTGCATAGTATATACAATATGTATTTTATGACTTTTAAACCAAAATCTTTGTACTTTTGGATAATTTAAGCATTATGCCCAGATGTATAGGCACTCTTTCCTTAACCTGTGTATTAGATCATTTTAAAGTTAGCTTTAATAAAAATTTTAAATCAGTTTAGTATTTCAGACACCCTCTGTCAGGGCACTGTGACCTAGCAGCAGGATGGACCAGATGACCCAATATGTCTTTTCCCTTTCTAATTACTGTGATCTTATGACCGCCCCTAAAGCTTGTATTTCTAGTACAGTGTTTAAGCAAGGCATTGATCTGGTCCTGAGTCAATAGTCACATTTGCTTTAAGAAGGAACGTTAACAATTTATTGTTTACTTTCCTATCCTCAGAAAAAGGATAAATCTGTCTTAAAAAATCCGACATTTCAATTCCAGATTTCCTGCTACGTCTTCTCTGCAGTGACCATCAACTACCCCACTGGACTGTGGCAAGGGTCATACAGCAGGCAGTAACCCTAGTAAAAAGGGGTCTCCTTAGTTCTGACAACACAAAGCAGAATCATGGACGTTAAGGAAAAGGCCTTGTGGAGCCTCTAGTCCATCCCTCTGCCAGGGCAGGATTTCCCATGTTGTACGTTGCCAAGTGTAAAAACAACGAGGAGTCCTTTCTCAAGCAAAGGAACTCCCACCATTGTTCCTTGTGGGAGATTAATTCACAGCCTAATGAGTCTTGATGACAGGAAATTTTCCTTGTATTTAGTTTAAATTGTCCCATCTCACATTGTATCCTATTTACTGTATCCTATGGCCTCTCCATAATTGTTTTCCCTCCTTGGCATTAACACCCTTAAAACAGATGTAGGCTCCTCTCCTGTTCCCCTTCCTCAGTTATATTAAATGTTTGCTTCTTTTCAGCTTCTCTTGCTTCGTCAGTCCACTCTGCCCTGTAAGCACTTTTGTTGCTGTTCTGTAAACTCCCTCCAAGCTGTTAATATTTTCCTAGTAATGAGGTGACTAGACATGAGCACAGTATTCCTGGTGGAGTTGCGCCATTTTGTGCTGCTCTGCTCCACTGCAAACTCCTATCTTGTGTGTTGTACACTATTGGCCCTTTTCCTTTCTGCATTATTGCCTTCCAGATTTCTCACTCCCACTGAATAGCTGTGTTTTGAATTATTTTCCCCCAGAAGTGTTGATTTGCTATTTTCTAATTCAGTGGAGCCCACAGCGGTGTGTAAATTATCCACAGTGCATACCATTGGCAGGGGTGCCAATTGGGGAGTGGGGGCACGGCCCCATGGGAGGAGTGGAAAAGGGGCAGTTTGTCCCAGGGTGCCTGTTTGAGAGGGCCCCCAAAGTAAATGTCATTGTGATCTGGCAGGGTTGTGATGGAGAGCTGCAGGGCCAAGTTTCATTGAGCGGCTCCTGCTGCGCCAAAGCTGAGTGGGGCTGCGATCCCATTCGCCAGATCACAATGCCTGGAGTCATGAGCTGTGCCCGGCTCCATGGGACAGGAACCAAACCGTTGCTGAGGGGCAAATGTGGTTGTGCTTACCAGGTGAAAAATTTCTGGGGCTTCCCCGTTCTAAGTCAGGAGGAATATTGGTTATCACTGCAACGGAATAGGCTGAGCTCAGACAGTTACAATTCCTGATCCTCAGCCACCTAGCCCCAGGGTAAATTAGAGCAGCTGGGGACCTACTTTAACTTCTGCACCACCAGTTACAGTGCGGGATCAGCATAGTAGAGCTCTGCTTCAGCAGACCCAGTCCCACCCATGCCCTGCCCCCCGAATTCCCCTGACACACCCCATCTCTTGCTTAACACTGGGACTGGCTGCTGCTAGAGCAGCCAGCTTTCTTACATCCAAGAGTTCTCCTATGCAAGGGGGATTCTCTACCAGCTATCTCTGGCTGTTTTAAGCATTACAAAGTGGCCTTAGGAGACCAGAAAACTCAGACATTTAGAGTCAAGTAATTTCTGAGGAACCATGTTCTGTTTCTCTAGGACAGTATAGGTTTCATCCCTGTTAAATTCTAGAGCATATTTCCATGAGGGTTACAGGAAGAAATGAAAGGCTATGGGGCTGTTTGCTTTTTTCCAGCCATTGTCCTAGCCCATTAGCGTTACGCGCCACCCTGTTCATTCATTCATTCATTCATTATTGTTTAAAAAGAAAAAATTGACAGCTGATGTATTTTGCAGTACGTTGGGTTTTTTATTTAGAGAGCGTCTCTCATCCTAAAGGTCACCATGAAGACTAAGGCCAGGTTACCCTACCACTTATGGCGGCAAAATGTATGTTGCTCAAGGGTGTGAAAAAACACACCCTGAGCAACATACATTTTGCTGGCATAAGTGGAAGCGTGCACAGCACTATGTCAACGAGAGAGCGTCTACCACCAACATAGCTACCGCCACTTGTTGGGAGTCGCTGGGCAAGCTCTCTCCCATTGGCATAGAGCAGCTACGTGAGAGACCTTCCAGCGGCTCAGCCTGCAGCGGTAGAGCTGTGTCACTGTAAGTTGTCTTGTGTCGACATAGCCTCAGCCGTCAGGAATAATTAGAAAAAATGGGTTATGTAAGCGCCAATGGAAACAATTAATGTTTTGTAGATTTCAAAATGGAGTCTTGGAAATTTTGCCACGGGCTGTTTCTTATCCATCATTCAACATTCCTGTAAAACTAGCAGAGGGCTGGTCACATGATGAGCTATAATCAATAACTCACATGTCAGTTGTGAGTTTAAGTCATGTTTCTACATTTCCTTTTCCTATTATGAAGTATTTGGGCCCTACACCCTGCTTTTAAGTGTTACTCCCATCTCTTATTTACTATATGAAGAGAAAAAAATCATTTCCTCTCTGTCAAAAGAAGGAAACTGAATGAAGGAATCAAGTGAAGACTCATTTGCTAGATACCTCTTGGTGCCCACTTGTGGTTGAAGAAATTGTGCAAAGTAAATTAGCTGCCTCTCGGGTAGGAAATTCACATGACATCTGCCATGCCAGTTGGCCGGTTTGAAAAAATAAAGCCATTGTTGACATCTGCAGCTCCTGACATTTACGCAGCCAGAGCAGGATATTTTTTTTCAACTAGACAGATGAGAATGTTTTATATTATAAGGATTGACATACAATCAGTGCAATGCTGTGGGCAAAATTCTTCCAAAACAATTACTGCAGGACTGTGATTGCCATCAGGTGTATGTCCCTTTCAGAGACACCAGGGATGAATTCTTGTACATACGAAGAATATTCACCTGCAGGTATTGTCAGAATTGGGAGCTCTGGAAAATTTTAGTTTAGTTTATTGAGAACAAAGTCTCGTGTGGATTAAACCATTTTACCCTTGTAGTGACATTCCTTTGCAGCACAGCACTAGCGGTAACGTAGGGTCACAGAAATAGTCACTTCAGACAGCATTGTACAAACGTTTATGAACTAACGTCCCCAGCTCTGCTGTGGGCTAGATACATATTATCCCTCATTGACAAATGGGGAAACTGAGGCACAGAAGCAAATGGACTTGCCTGATGCCACAGAGGGAGATAATGCGAGACCAAGGATTAGAATACAGGATTTCTTGATTAATCCAGTATTGTTGACCCGAAGAGTTCAAAATCATGCGATTTTTTTCAGTCTTTTTATTTTACCACATGTGCACCAGCCCCCTGACAGCGTCCCACAGTACCTCCATGCCCCCAGAGCCCTAGCAGGTTCCTGTTTCTGGCTGCAGGGAGGGGGCTCCCTGCGCTCTGGTAGAGGGCTGAGGCCACTACTCAGATAAAGAGGGCGTGGAGGAAGAAGTTGTTTCTGCTGTGCTGTACGTGCTCCTAGGCTCTGCCCCAGACAAACACCTCCCTCCCCCACTAGGGACATAGGCATTGTGCCCCTGAATCACTGGGCTAACGCAGCATGCAATATTTGGGGAGACAGTTACTTCTGTATTTAATGATGTGTGTGCTGTTAACACTATTAGCAAGATGGAGCTAAAGTTGGCCCCATGTCCCCCTATGCTTTCTGGGGGCAAGAGGACACAGGGAGTGCAAGATTGTGAGCACTTAAGCGAACACAAGCCTAGAGACCCAGGGTCTTTGCCCTCCAGCTCTCCACAGCTTCAAAAGAGTGTGTAGATCTGCAGCCTGGAGAGGCTCCAAGCAACCCAACAGGTTGCTGTCTGCTTGGCGGAGTGGTAAAACAGACCTACCTGGTAGAGTTAACTGTTTGTGGTAACATTTGCAAGGTCAAAACCTCTCCGCTGCTCTCCCACCCCTCCTAGCTCAGGCAGGAAAGGGCAGGATTGAATTCTAGGCCCTGGTCTACACTACGAGTTTAGGTCAAATTTAGCAGCGTTAGATCCATTTAACCCTGCACCCGTCCACACGACGAAGCCATTTACTTTGACTTAAAGAGCTCTTAAAATCAATTTCTGTACTCCTCCTCCGACGAGGGGATTAGCGCTGAAATCGACCTTGCCAGGTCGAATCTGGAGTACTGTGGTCGCAATTTGACGGTATTGACCTGCGAGAGCTATCCCAAAGTGCTCCATTGTGACCACTCTGGACAGTTCTCTCAACTCAGATGCACTGGCCAGGTAGACTGGAAAAGGCCTGCGAACTTTTGAATCTCATTTCCTGTTTGGCCAGTATGGTGAGCTCATCAGCAGAGGTGACCATGATGGAATCCCAGAATCGCAAAAGAGCTCCAGCATGGACCGAATGGGAGGTACGGGATCTGATTGCTGCATGGGGATACGAATCTGTGCTATCAGAATTCTGTTCCAAAAGACGAAATGCCCAAATATTTGAAAAAAATCTCCAAGGGCATGAAGGACAGAGGCTATAACAGGGACCCGCAGCAGTGCTGCGTGAAACGTAAGGAGCTCAGGCAAGCCTACCAAAAAACCAGAGAGGCAAACGGCCGCTCTGGGTCAGAGCCCCAGACATGCCAGTTCTATGATGAGCTGCATGCCATTCTAGGGGATGCAGCCACCACTACCCCACCCCTGTGCTTTGACTCCGTCAATGGATTATCACGCAACAGGGATGCGCATTTTGGGGATGAGGGAGATGAGGAGGAGGTTGAAGATAGCGCACAGCAAGTAAGCAGAGAAACCGTTTCCCCCGACAGCCAGGAACTGTTTATCACCCTGGAGCCAATACCCCCCGAACCCACCCAAGGCAGGCTCCCGGACCCACCAGGCGGAGAAGGGACCTCTGGTGAGTGTACCTTTGTAAATATAATACATGGTTTAAAAGCAAGTGTGTTTAATGATTAATTTGCGGCCAGTACCGCTACTGGAAAAGTCTGTTAATGTGTCTGGGGAGGGAGTGGAAATCCTCCAGGGACATCTCCATAAAGCTCTCCTGGATGTACTCCCAAAGCCTTTGCAAAAGGTTTCTGGGGAGGGCAGCCTTATTCCGTCCTCCATGGTAGGACACTTTACCACGCCAGGCCAGTAGCACGTAGTCTGGAATCATGGCATAACAAAGCATGGCAGCGTGTGGTCCCGGTGTTTGCTGGCATTCAAGTGACATCCATTCTTTATCTCTCTGTGTTAGCCTCAGGAGAGTGATATCATCCATGGTCACCTGGTTGAAATAGGGTAATTTTATTAAGGGGACATTCAGAGGTGGCCATTCCTGCTGGGCTGTTTGCCTGTGGCTGAACAGAAACCTTCCCCGCTGTTAGCCACGCGGTGGGTGGAGGGGTGAAGCCATCATCCCAGAGAATTGTGGGGGGGAGCGGTTAGTTGAGTTTGTGCTGCACGTTAACCCGAAAACTGCAGCCCCTCCTTTTAAATTGCCAACCCATTTCAAATGGCCAACCCAATGGGTGCTTGGTATGTGAAATGAGGGCGCTGCTGTTTGAAACCATTCCCACATGTTATGAAGGTTAAAGAAGCCAAAAGACTGTGGCTTACCAGGGCTGCCTGCAAGCCAAATTCTGTTGCCCGCCGGCCCTGCGTGTGTGATCTCTCACACCAAACCTGCAGACCCTCAATATAAGAGGCAAAATGTGACCTTGTACTGAATGCACATGTGCTATGTAGTGTTAGCAGCAAGGTTCACCATGAAAGATGTACCCATTGTTCTCTAAAATGCGTCTTTTTAACTACTACTCTCCCTTTTTTTTCCTCCTGCAGCTGCAAATGTTTCAACGCTTCCCCTATCATCTTCATCCCAGAGGCTAGCAAAGATTAGAAGGTGAAAAAAACGCACTCGCGATGCAATGTTCTCTGAGCTCATGCAGTCCTCCCACACTCAAAGAGCCCAGCAGAATGCGAGGGGGCAGACAACGTTAGAGTCCAGAAAAGCACAATATAAACACCAGGATAGGTGGCAGGTTGAAGATGATAGGTGGCATCAGCTTGCTGACATAAGGCAGGAGTCAATGCTGAGGCTCCTGGAGGATCAAACTGATATGCTCCGGCATATGGTTGAGGTGCAGGAAATGCAGCATGAGCACAGACCCCCACTATAGCCCCTGTGTAACCAACCGCCCTCCTTTCCAAGATCCATAGCCTCCTCACCCAGACACTCAAGAACGCGGTGCGGGGGCCTCCGGCACCCAACTACTCCACCCCAGAGGACTGCCCAAGCAACAGAAATCTGGCATTCAATAAGTTTTAAAGTACAGTGTGGCCTTGTCCTTCCTTCCTCCCCCATCCCTCCCGGGCGACCTTGGCAGTTATCGCCCTATTTGTGTGACGAATTAATAAAGAATGCATGAATTTGAAGCAACAATGACTTTATTGCCTCTGCAAGCGGTGATCGAAGGGGGAAAGGAAGGGTGGTTAGCTTACAGGGAAGTAGAGTGAACCAAGAGGTGGGGGTTTTCATCAATGAGAAACAAACAGAACTTTCACACCGTAGCCTGACCAGTCATGAAACTGGTTTTCAAAGCTTCTCTGATGTGCACCGCGCCCTCCTGTACTCTTCTAACTGCCCTGGTGTCTGGCTGCGCGTAATCAGCAGCCAGGCGATTTGCCTCAACCTCCCACTCCGCCATAAAGGTCTCCCCCTTACTCTCACAGATATTGTGGAGTGCACAGCAAGCAGTAATAACAGTGGGAATACTGGTTTTGCTGAGGTCTAAGCGAGTCAGTAAACTGCGCCAGCGTGCTTGTAAATGTCCAAATGCACATTCTACCACCATTCTGCACTTGCTCAGCCTATAGTTGAACAGCTCCTGACTACTGTCCAGGCTACCTGTATATGGCTTCATGAGCCATGGCATTAAGGGGTAGGCTTGGTCCCTGAGGATAACTATAGGCATTTCAACATCCCGAACGGTTATTTTCTGGTCTGGGAAGAAAGTCCCTTGCTGGAGCTATTGAAACAGACCAGAGTTCCTGAAGATGCGAGCGTCATGTACCTTTCCCGGCCATCCCACGTTGATGTTAGTGAAATGTCTCTTGTGATCCACCGGTGCTTGCAGCACCATTGAAAAGTACCCCTTTCGGTTTATGTACTTGCTGCCTTGGTGCTCCGGTGCCAAGATAGGGATATGGGTTCCGTCTATCAGCCCATCACAGTTAGGGAATCCTATTGCAGCAAAGCCATCCACTATGACCTGCACATTTCCCAGAGTCACTACCCCTGGTAGCAGCAGCTCAGTGATTGCATTGGCTACTTGCATCACAGCAGCCCTCACAGGAGATTTGCCCACTCCAAATTGATTCCCGACTGATCAGTAGCTCTCTGGCGTTGCAAGCTTCCACAGGGCTATTGCCACTTGCTTGTGAACTGTGGGCTGCTCTCATCTTGGTATTCTGGTGCTTCAGGGCAGGGGAAAGCAAGTCACAAAGTTCCATGAAAGTGCCCTTACACATGCGAAAGTTTTGCAGCCATTGGGAATCATCCCAGATCTGCAACACTATGCGGTCCCACCAGTCTGTGCTTGTTTCCCGTGCCCAGAATTGGCGTTCCACAGCATGAGCCTGCCCCATTACCACCATGATGTTCACATTGCCAGGGCCCATACTTTGAGAGAAGTCTGTGTCCATGTCCTCGTCACTCTCCTCACCGTGCTGCCGTTGCCTACTCACCTGCTTTTGCTGGTTCTGGTTCTGCATATACTGCTGGATAATGCGCGTGGTGTTTAGAATGGTCATAACTGTCGCAGTGATCTGAGTGGGCTCCATGCTTGCCGTGGTATGGTGTCTGCAGAAGAGCAGAGTGGCAGCGGAAGCGGAAGCGGCGGGTGGATGACGATGCTGACAGCAATATGGCGCCCGCATGGAAAAAGGCGTGAAACGATTGTTGGCCATTGCTTTCACGGAGGGAGGAGCAAGGGTTAGGCTGGCAGCAGATGGTGCAGTACGACTGCTAGCCGTCATCTTCTCTGGATGCTCGCGGTGCTGCTGGCTGGGAGAGCAGCCTGAGGCAGAATGCCCCCCCCCAAGGATTGAACTCACAACCCTGGATTTAGCAGGTCAATGCTTTAAACCACTGAGCTATCCCTCTGCCAATATTCCAGACAGGACTGAATCTCCATTAGACAAAATTTGAAGAAGAGAATGACCTGAGTCACTCCCCTTTATGTCCAGGCGTCCCTGACAGACCTCACCAAGGTCTGCTAGGAGCACCCATGTCTGCCAAGGCACTCTGACCGACCGACCTCACCGAGGGCGGCCAAGAGCACCCAGGAGATGACGAGGACGGCTACCAGTCATACTGCACCGTCTGCTGCCACAAGGCAATGAGCTGCTGCTGTGTAGCAATGCAGTCCTGTGTCTGCCAGCACCTAGGAGACGTACGGTGATGGTGAGCTGAGCAGGCTCCATGCTTGCCATGGCATGGCGTCTGCATGGGTAACCCAGGAAAAAAGGTGCGACACGATTGTCTGCCATTGCTTTTACGGGGGGTTGGGGGGGGTGACAACATGTACCCAGAACCACCCGCGACAATGTTTTTTGCCCCATCAGGCATTGGGATCTCAACCCAGAATTCCAATGGGCGGCAGAGACTGCGGGAACTGTGGGATAGCTACCCACAGTGCAACGCTCTGGAAGTTGACGCTAGCCTTGGTACTGTGGATGCACTCCGCTGACTTAATTGTCTTAAGTGGGGACACACACAATCGACTGTATAAAATCGATTTCTAAAAAATCGACTTCTATAAATTCGACCTAATTTCATGCTGTAGACATAGCCTAGGATTGTCAGCATGCGTAACATGAACATTCCACTTCCGATTATACCAGCAAAATCATTCCAGTTTCTTCTCGGTGCTTGCTTCAGAAATCACTGTTACCCAAAGATCACTAATGAGCACCACATGTCTTTTGGGTCAGAAAACTATGAGGCCTGCTATTAAGGAATCCATGATTCAGTAAGATCGGTGGGTTTGTTTTGACTTTTGCACACACAAATAATGCTGTTTCTCATTCCCTGTTGGAGATAAGGGGCTTACTATGTCTCAGAGAGCTTGATTTTCTTTTACAGTAAAGATACTTGGTTGTCTCGTCCTCCAGGTTTCCAGTCAGAAGTAACAAGAAGCCTGAGATGCAATCTCCAATATCGTACGATTACGCTGAAGAAGAGCTCATGGCGAGTATTGAACAAGAGTACTGCCGCTGAGACCCAGTGCTGTATGATCATAGCTGACAGGGGCACATATGAGCAAGGGTTCTGTGAACAAAATAACCCCGCACACAGTGAGATTGTTCTGAAGAAATGAAAAAGACGAGAATGAAATGGGAGAGAATGTTACCACTCAGGAGGCTGTTAGTATTGTAGGACTTCAAAGAACTCCTCTTTGGCAAGTGCTGAGCAAGAGCACTGATTAACGAAGGAACCCTCGCTGAGCAGTGAACAAAAGCAATGCGGTGGAAAAAAATAAGATCTTATTACTTTCCTCTTGTAAATTAATATTTAAAAGCTAGTTTCTAAGTAATACTTGTGTATGAAGACTTAAATATAGTGTAAGGTTGAGATGTGCCATTTTGACAGTGTGATTTCAGTCAGAGAAGTGCAGCAAATCATTTGAATAAATACTTACTTGATAGGAGATATCCAAAATATACCTTTCCTGGCACTTAGTTATGGGTCAAATTCAGACCTATGGTAAGCAGCTTGTAACTCTTTACACCAGGTATGAATTTGCCCCCACATGTTTTTTTTAAATATTCCACAGCACAGAAAGAGGGAGGGAAGGGAGTCAATCATTCCAAACTTAGGCTGCAGGATCTAAGGGTTCCAATCCCAGTTCTCTATCAAACAACAGGTGTGGGATTTGTTCTGATTGTGCACATGGCTCTATTCCTTCTAGCTCCCCTTTTCCAGAGAGGCAGGGGACTGAAATTGTCAAGAGTCCTGCTTCCTTAAAAGGCAAGATTCTTGTCTAGTTTCTTACCTGCTGGCTTACAAAAATGGAAGCTACAGGGAAATCAGAAGGACAGAATGACGTGCACATACCGGTCCAATGCCACATGTACGCGCCTGTTGGGTCACCCACTTTGAGATGGGCTTTAACATCATTGAAAAGCAGTTGTTCACAAATCAGCACTCCAGCACTGGAGTTAGATATAAATTGACCACTTCGGGCTTACACAGGAATTTTCATTAGTGCTTAATTTAAAATTCACCACATTTATCACTAAGGACAGAAAAGTAAAACAAAAAATCCTATAAGCGTAAAGACTCAGAGGTTTTCAGTATGATTGACAGTGAAGCCTTATACTTTTTAATTAAGGTTTCTGTGCGTTTGGTTGGTTGGTTGGTTGGTTGGTTGGTTGGTTTGGAGCCTGATATACTTGGAGTAGCTGCTTATCAGAATTAGAAAAAATAACTTCTTTCTGTCCTCTGATGGAACATAACACGTCAGATGAAATCTCAAGGGCAAATCAATGAGGCACATGCTAATGGAAACAGTGGGATACACCTTAAGATGTCAAGGTTTGACTTTCCCTTTGTATTTTGGTGTAGATTTCACAAATGTCTATGTTCCAGATAATTCTCAATAAAAGGCAAAAGTATCAGTTTGAGAGAGACTGGGTGATCAATCTTCTGTCCCTCCAACTGTTATTTTTTCATGGAAATATCCAGTAGGATTTTTAATGTCTCACTGCATATGATTTTTTCTTCCTAATGAGGCATCTAGTTTTAGTTTTTCCTCCAGATTACATAATGAGGAACCTGTGGCTATCTCCAGGTTGTCATGTTCTCGTAGCCAATGTGACTGAGCACAGACGTCTCCATGCTGGTTCATAGTCCTCCCCTACTCAGTGCTTCTTCAGCACACTGATAGCCTTTTAATGAATCTTCCAGGAATATGAAGATAGTAGAGACAAAGTGCATCTGTAAGGGGACGTGCACAATTCTAGAAGGATGGAGAGGATCATGCAGATAGCACAAAAAACCCTACTGACCAGTTTGGATAAGAAGCAGTGTTCCAAAAGATGTCCTGCTTATGTACTCAGATGGTGGGTATCATTGTGGTGTGAACCTTGCATAGAGAAGGACAGAAATGTTCCTGTTGGAGGTCTGGTGTGGTACCCAATGAGATGGAAGTTATACTTAGGGCATGTCTACATGGGGATGTTAGTGCTAATATGCTAAATAAGCTAAAATGTGACTTTAAAGTGTACTAGGTACTCAATTAGCTACTCCACACTAGCTCGCCATGTGGGGACACTGACTGCGCACTAAGAGAGCCTAGCTTGGTATATCCAGAAATATCCTGCTGTCAGTCAAAAGATATATGTGCAGTGGTTGGGGGAGGTAGCTTAACGTATCAGGAGTAGAACCACACACAAAAATAGAAAATATGGTAATAATTGGTTCTTGAGTAGAAACAACACGTTCAATAATATTACCATGTCTGAAAATTATACAAAAGTAATAACATGAATTTATATGGCCAAGGTCAGTATTCTATTACATTGGCCAGAATTAAATTAAACGAAATTAATCTCCAATAACCTGCCATAATAGCAAGCAAACTTATATCAGTGTGAGAAGAATACATAGTGCATTTTTTGTAGAGAACATAAAAAATATCTGAAGATTTCTAAATCTAGTGGCTGTACCTACTCATGATGCTGCATGCATGGTGTGTCCCCTTTTTGTTCAGAAACTAGCCAACTTTTAGATTTCTACGCTATCCAGGTTTCTTCCTTTAGATTGAGCCTGTTCTTGGACACAGAGGGCCAGATTCTAAGGGGTGCCCAGTTTGTGTTAGGCACAGATGAGGGGAAGGAAGCCACAGAGGAACTGCTTGTGGCTCTCTGATTCTGGGGCCAGTTATGTGCTGGGGCCTGCCTACTTTAGGATGACAACCAAGATGCTTTAAAATATGGCAGCTGGCTGTGGCCTCCAGGGTTCATTTTACCAGCCATGAATAGATGGATGAAAGTACCCCTCTGGCCACACCCCAGTGTAACACTAGGGAGGCTGGAGAAGGGTGGCACACATGTCAGTTGAGGACCGCTCAGCTGGAATCCCAGGCTGGAGAAATCTACCAACTTTCCAGACACTTTGAGCTGCCAAACCTTCCTGTTATACTGTGTAGGCAGGGAGATCACAGCCTCCTTCAGTATCTGAGAGCTTCCCCTGCTCCAGGCTCTGCCTTTAGAGCAGTCCCTAGCCATTTTGGTGCCCTATGCAGCCCCCCCAGGCCTCTGTGGTGGGGGCGGGGGACTGCCCCCGGCCCCAGCCCGCTCCACTCCCCTGGCTCCCAGCCTTGGGGGGCAGGGGGGAACCACCCCCCTGCACTCACCAGCGGCGCGGCTGGGAGCCAGAGGAGCAGAGCAGGCTGGGTCCGGGTTGTTCCACTTACCACACGGTGAGTGCACGCCCGACCCCTGTAGCAGTCCTCTGGGGAGTGGGGGCAGGGCAGGGGCAGAGGCTTGGGGAAGGGGTGGAGTGGAGGCGGGGCTGGGGCGGAGCAGGGGCTGGAGCAGCACGCAGCTGCGCAGGGCACCAGGAAATGTGGTGCCCCAAATTTCCTGGTGCCCTCCGCAGCTGCGTGCTTTGCGTATGGGTAAGGACAGCCCTGTCTGCCTTGCTGAGGTCAGAGTTCAGTTTCTCTCTCTACAGCTGTATTCTATAACTGCTCCAGCTAAGAATGCTTTTCAGGTTGTCTTAAAGAAAAGACTGTGTTCTGGGAATTTTATAGAAAGAGAAAATATTAAAATAAAAAGCATGAAGAAATAGTCATCCCTGACTGATTATTAGGAAATGTACCTGGAGGTCGGCACTAGGCCTGAACATTGAAATCTAACCTGCCTGGCAAGATGATTTATTTTCTCCCCATTAGCATTTGGGGTGACATCATACTTTAGTCCTGTCTGTGATGGCCATTTCCCCTGTGTGACAGCCAGTTGTTCATAAGATGACAAAATTCATTCCTATTTTTAAAAAGCATCTCATCTAGCCTGTCCCTAAACATATGGGACTACACTGAGATACACCAGCTGGGTAGCTGGCCTGTCATTTCAGTCATTACCCTTCTACATGACATATACAGCCTAGTGTACTGGAGCAGGGCATGGTATTTAGTGCAAAAAACTTTCAGTCCTCTCCAAGTAAACAATAAAATATTTTCCACAATTTAGCATGGCATCTTCCCTTGTCTAGAAGCAGCACGTAAATACAAAATTATACAAATACAGTATGTTCTGAACTTTGCACAAACTAACTACCTTATGTTTAGTGCCGTGCTGGCTATTAACCATTCTACACACAGCCACTTCTTAAAAAACACCAAACCAAACCACCGTTGGTCAGAGGGTTAAGGAAAGGGTCACATTTTCCATGGTACCACTTAAATAGATTATCAGCTCCAGCCACTTAACTTAGCTTTCACTGAGTGTAGTGTTTAAAACAAAAACAAACAAAAAGTGAGCTTTCAGAGCATGCCATGCAAACTAAAGAAACTAGATCATAAGAGATTTTTATATAAATATTAACCAAAAGGCAAATATCTTGGCTTCTGACTGACCATCTGTCTCGTGAAAAGCAGTCTTGTGCAGAGGACAGCAGGCCAAAAAAACTGAAGACCTGGCTAGCAGCATGACAACTTAGCAGAAGGCAATTTGGCATTCACAAGATTTACTAGTTGGTCTATAAAAAGATTAACACTGAAAGACTCTGTAGTGGTAAGAAATTTAAGAGCCTGAAAAGAATTCTTAGAAGTTAGTTAACTAGGCCAAAATCTTCCAAAAACAGAACAAAAGCCACTTTTGTGCTTACGCCATTTGCATCTACTCAACTTCTGAGTTACATGCAAATTGGGGTTTTGCAAATGCAGAACTGCACCTTTGAAGATATAATACACAGAAGAATTTTTTCTTACCTGCGGATTGCTTTTCATGACATTACTACCATGATAGGCGCATGCCTTGCCACTGAACAAGGAAAAGAAATAAAAAGGGTGTAGTCACTGTTGTAGCATTCTAGCCTTTCCTGGAGTATGTACATACCTGTACAGGAAGGAGCACAAAGACAGCAAGACCTTTAGAGAGGAAACCACTGGTTGCTTTGTCTCCTAAAAACAACTAGAAAAAGTGGTTACCTCTAGAGCAGTTTTAAGAAGGGAAATACCCTCTCATAGGCTGGCTATGGGCCAGCAGACCCTTTTACAGGGCTTTAAAAACTGGTCAGGGGACAAACTGAGCTAGAAATTGAAGACTCAAAATGGGAGGAGCTGTGACTTACTGTGTGGGCAGGTGATAGGAAAGATTAACATGGAAATTGCCAAAATCAAGCAATGAGGACTCACTTGCTTGTTATAAGCAGCAATATTTGCTCTGTATTTATCTATATGCTTGGTGTGGTAATAAACAGTCTTTGTTGGCAAACTAAAGTGTGTCTTCTGTACTCTGTTAACCAATACTCACAGCTCTAATAATACAGCCCACTGTACAACCTCGCAGCTTTCACTCCGGTAGGTTACTCAGATGAAGGCTTTTCACAGCCAGTCTCACTCTCTTCCCATCACCTGGATTATAATACCTGAGACGACTTCCTGACTCCTCAGGTGTGCCTGTCTCCGTCAGGGTGGAACTCTGTACTGGTGTTGCTATGTTACAGAAGACAACTAGAAAGTAGGAAAATTTTGTTTTCCACTGAAACCGCTGCCACCAGTGTAGATCCAGCTTGAGTAGTAGTGTCCTGCCCAGGGGTGGGCCCATAGGCGCTGACTGCATGGGTGCTCCAGCCCCACCAGCCACAGCTGTTCGGCAGCTCGCGGAGAGGCTTAGGAAAGGGCAGCGAATGGCGGGCAGGCAGGGGCCTTAGGGAGAGGGCAGAGTGGGAGCGGGCAGAGGCAGAGTGAGGGTGGGGCATTGGGAGAAGGGGGGAAGTGGGGGCAGGGCCTTGGGGCAGAATTGGGGTGAAGCACCCCTGGGAAAAAGTAAAAGTCGGCGCCTATGGTTGGGATCACACATGTATGCTGAAATGTAAAGAGGATGAACAATCCAGCCATGAAGGAAATGGAGTTGGGCTGGGAAAACAGCTCCCTCCTTCTAAAAAGATAGCAGCCCTCAAGCTGCTGAGCACAGTGGATCCTGACCTCTCCATTTGGCTGCTGCTGGGGTTGACTATGGTTCTTGGTACAAGTGGGGCAGCACACCAGCCAGCTAGTATTGACTTAAGCCACTCTCTTTCGGACCAGCAGGTGGCAACTACTTCAATGGAGTTCAACTGGACAGAGACATCCTGCAGAAGAGTCAACAAAACTGGATACAAGAGAAGATCCCACGGGGAGAATAAAATCTAGAGCTTTATCTTCCTTTTGAGGTCCCTCTCTCAAAGAGCAAGACAAGATCAGACTTCCTATTACCATTAGTACAAGCAAGATTCACTGAGAGCCCTTTGAGCACATCAAATGAGTGCTGAGGAACTTCCTCCTAAAGCTTCAGAGTAGCAGCCGCTTTAGTCTGTATTCGCAAAAAGAACAGGAGTTCTTGTGGCACCTTAGAGACTAACCAATTAATTTGAGCATAAGCTTTCGTGAGCTATAGCTCACTTCATCGGATGCATT